TGCAAACAGCTTCATATTTATGCTCTAAGCATATTAAGTTTAAATTATTTTAAGTACTCCTTGTTCCAAATACTTTTCATTATAAGAGGATTAAAGAAGTTCTTCGTATCTATCAACGAGTACTTAAATAGAAGAGCGGTCCTCAGCTGGCTGTAGAAGGGAAAGTATCTCCAGCCACATGACTCATAATATCATCTGTAAAATCAGAAATATTTTGTTATATACCTAATCATAAAATGCCGTATTTTCAATTAAAAAAACTTATTGTTTTATTATATTCATTGTGAGCAAAGTTAGTACCCATAAAAGGCTGCACGGCCTTAACTCTTCCCTAAATTTGGGCGATTAATAATGAACAAGCCATGCAGAATTAATTTTCTAAAGCATAACGGCTATAGTCATAGGAATTAATATCACTATATCACTATTAATATCAATATTATTATGTCATTTGAAATCATTTGAAGACATTGGTAAGCTATTGCCAAATATTTCTTTAGATCAATAGTCATAATTTTAGGATATTAAGAGAAGACAGATTGTGAAGACTCTTTTGACAGATTCATGCTAGTGCACTTGTCAATTCCTTTGAAAAAGCAAGTGGAAATTATCCTTATATTGGTCTCAAAAAGAAGCCGAACGAGTGACTTTGAGATGTGGCCGAAGATCCGTGCATCCAAGTTATACATGCATCGTTTCGTGGCACCGATGCATCAGTGCTAAGCTTTCCTCTCTTTGGTATAGTTTCGCAAGGCTCAGCCTAGATTCATTGGGGTAACGAGACTGTGCACCAAGGACTAAATCGTATAAATTTATAGTCATAACTGAAATACAATCCTCATTCAGTCTCCAGTGGGGCTAAATTATGAGTCTATTCCACTCGCTGATGCAGACAAAATAGAAGGTATAAAAATAGCTATAATGTTTGGTCCTAGTGTTTTTAATGCTTGCATAAGCAGGTATCGACGCTCTCAACCACTGAAATATCTTTATTTAGGATTTACTGGGTAGTTATTTACCTTATTGAGAAACTTAATTTTAATACATTTTTGAAGCGGGCATAACGTTTTCTTAAGGAGTCGATTCACTCAAGATCACACAAGGTTGTAGTTGAAGTTTTCAACAATGATATGACTAGGCCACGCAATTTGCTTTGGAGTTTGGAAGGAGGATAAGGTTCATGCCACAGTAAACTAAGAAGGTAATAAGTTGGGTAAAGATATGCACTGTAAACCAATATACACGGGTTTACTTATTAACTTCTTATTGAATCATGCATGTTAAGTCAAAGTAGGAAGTATGAAATAGATGATAACAAGGAATGAGTGTTAATTTGATGAAAATCACCAGGACTAGGAAATCGGTAGAGTAGGATGTACACTAATTCAAAACAATTACCTACTAAGATTACTGGATAATTACGTTTCAATAACCATAAACAGAATGAGAGTAAATTGCTAGTTAGGATGTAATAGGCAGATATACCATCATATTAGGTTTCTGACTTCTTCCATCTTGTCAGCTTGCAAAAAGGTTAGGTGAAATAGTAATGAGCTGGAACATTATAAAAATATTAAAGGTAAAAGTATACATAATAAATAAAATATCCTTGTGCTTGGTAAAGCATGTTGTCCTGTGCTGACATGAGGGATGAAAGCTCAGTACGGATTCATCAGGTGGTGGGACGGTGCGTCGAGGACTTATTCGCACAAACCTACAGCCAAGGGTCAAATAAATCCTCATTCGGCTTCAGGTGAGGCTAACCTGAGAATCCCTTGCATTAGCCTTTTCAGACGAATTGAAAGATATGCCAAGATCAATCTTTCTTCATAGCACGGCTTTTCTACACATAAGAGAAACTTAAACCTCTTTTCGAGACCGGTCTTTATTTAGATTTTGTTTAAGGTATGTACACGAATAGTATCTTCTCAAAAAGCCTTTGCTGGGTGGTGGAAATTTCTGTGCTTATAATGACAAGCATACATTAGTCCTCGGATGACCTTGGTATGCAAAGTCATCTTCTGATAGTTACCACAATAAATAAGTGCTCTCCAACTTTGAAAATTATGATCCACATAAACGAACTATGTTTTGAGGTCTTTCAATTCTCCAAAATATAAAAACTTAGACATTTGTGTGTGTATACATATAATGATACAATAAGACAGCAGAAGGAATTTCTATCAATTTTGTAATCACTCGTTTAAGCTCAGGTTAAACTTATTTTAAATATTGACAAAAGAAAAATTAGTGTTTACTATCCATTTCGATGCTTGATTTTAACTTATTTTTATATTAATACCTCTTATTGAGGATATACTTGCCTGCAGTCAACTAGCAAGCGGATTTATATTGCTTCTAGTTTGATACTTTTATTGTGCTCTGGCTCCTATGTATATGGATTAGGATACCTGATCTGAGATCAATTGTTAGGACGAATAATTAAAAGGATGTATGTCAAGATGTTGTGCCTTTGATTTGGTCGCAGTCTTCTTTTGCTGTATATGAGTTGCCTGATCTCGTTTACGTAACTTGGTCGTGATGTCAGCGAGACCTAGTTGGGCGCACCTTGTTCAAATTCCTCTGTTATAGTAGTTGTGATTAGTTCCAGCGTTGGATATGAACTTGATACATTCCCAGACGGTTCGCCGGCATTGTGAATAAGTTTTGTCATTCTTAGCACCCTGCCACAACATATAAAAGGGACATGTGAAGTCAGGCCCTTAACCAACTTTCTGTCAAACTGTTGTATTATTACTTCTCCTTCTGAACTGGTACATCTACTTAAACCCTATCCTTGTATCACATTACCTTGCTATCACATCTTCTGATTTGTTTATATTCGACTCTCCTGGAAGTGTGCCCTATTTGGCGAGTTTAGTGTGCGTCGCTGTCGCATCTGCTTGTTTATCTTGTCACTCCTCTGTCTCAAATTGCCCGAATTTCTGATCCGAATTGGATCCTCTATCCGAATCTCCCTTTTGCGTTCGGAGATTTGTTTCGTATCTTTCCGGTTAATTGATTTCCTTCGGTTCTGCTCTGTGAACCAATGGCACTCGTGGCAGTTGGTGTATTGGGAAACGTGTCGAGACCGTGCGCTGCCCTACCACGACACGTGTTCATGCTTCACTGGGGGTGCTGAGAAGACCTCGTTAAGGTCAAAACTGCAGTCCACCCTGAATGACAATACCTTTTGGGAAGCAAAACCATGTGAAATTCACTGAAAAAATGAGGCCTACTGTTATGATTGTGGAAAAAATGAACAACATGTCCTTCGTCACCTTAAAAGAAATAGGGTAAAAAATAGCACTTATATCAGATCTACTGGAAGTCTTGAAAACCTAAGTATGAAACGAAAACTTATTTGTGTTTTTTGGTTACGCTTAAGGAGAAGGGGAGAAAGTGAGTAGGAGGAATCACTGAGAAAAATGAGGAGGCTGGAATAGCCTCGAGTATAGCTATGGCTATCACGTCTCTCATGACTTGAATTAGCATATACTCAATATACATTATATGTCAACACTAGAGAATCGTAAGCTGGCTTATTTAGGCAAGAAGACAGTTGCCACAATGTTTACTTCCTTTACATGAATTTACTTCACCTATTTCCAAGCATGAAGGGTAAGCATGAAGTAGCCAACCAAATCATGGTATGCTTCATCAAGATCACAAAATTAGTTACGAGAAGTGAGTAGGTTTGAAGCCTGCTAGCTTTTCTCTTTGTTTACCTTTAGACAGCAGGTTTCTAGTACTCAAAGTGGCCTTTAACTTTACGGCCCCTTGCATATATCCTAAATATTAGCGTAGTACCGATTATAATAAATGATAAGGGGTTTCGATTTCTGCTGTACATAGATATGTTTAGAAGTGGTAGACCAGGTTTTCGCAATTTGGTCGTGTTGTTAGGGCGATCTGACTGAATCAATCTTGTCCAAAGTCCTCTGCTATTGTAGTTATGATAATTCCCAGAGGCGGACTTGGTGCATTCCCATACCAAGCCCAAAGTTCGGTGCTGTAAACTATTCTAACGAATGCAACATAAAACTTTGGAAAAGATTAATTCAACCTGATCCCCCTGACGACACGAACAAGTTGCGAAAACCAGGTTAACCATTTCTAAACCTATTCATAGATAATAGAAATCGAAGCCAATTGGCATTCATCATAGTCTGCATTACATTAAAAGCTAGGATATTCTCAAGAAACCGTAAGGCCAAAGGCTACATCAAGTATTAATAATGTGTCGCCTAAAGCTGAGTGCACTAGGGTTACCAAGAATAAGCTAAGAGTAACTAGAAAGGTACTGATGAAGATAGCATTATTGTGGAGGCTTTTATTTCGTATGAGAGTAAATGATATAGAGATTTATTGAGTGATCCGACCGGAAGACGATGGCTGATTCCCGATGTTCTACAGCCCTTTGGCTTTAATACAACGTTCAAATTGGCACAACCCTTGAGACATCCTCATTGATTTCAAGTAAGACAGAACCAAGCTTTCGTTCGTGAGCTGACGGACATCATTAGTGCTGGGACTCGTTATTTCAAGTGTCAGGATAACAGTTGAATGGTTATAATCCTCCTTATTAGTATGAAATGGAAGTATTTACAGTAATTGTATCTAAATAGTTTACTTGAAACCCAGCTACTCTTCATAGCTAATGTGGATAAGATAATGGGCTTTACGCATCAAGCTGTGTGTCTGTATGTGTAAGCAATATAACTTCACAATTTCAAGTGGAATTAGCAACTCTGATTTATAAGCTGGACGAAAATGCTCCAGAAAATTAAAATTTATACTCGACATAGATCCATAAATGGTTATGTGGAATAAATGAAGTTGTGAGTTATATATAAGCCAAACATGCGTATAGACATACTTTAATTATATATGATTTTATTGGTAGGACAATCTGGCTGCCTGCAAGGCTTGAATATAGAACAGAAGACAGCCTACATGTGCAAGAAAATAGTTTACCCTTGATAACGAAACCGTAGCCCATGATCGAGTCCCGTTCCAGTCGCACCGTTCTCGGCTCCGTCCAAGACATCTTCGCGTTAAACACATGCGGTGGGCCTAGTAGTGTGAACGGATCTCGCACACTCAACGACTGCCAGTCGGGCTGGGCTGGCGGCCCAGAGATGCAATGTGTCGTCAGGGCATGCAATATGGGGACAGGAGAAATGGGACGTCGGTCAGGGATCACAGCGCTCACCGAGTCAGCCTCATAACTATGTATGGATAAAGAGGAAGATGAGCTCTTGTAGGCCTTCTTCTTTTTAATTTTTTTACCACCACTTATGATAGATTCCGAGCTCGGCTCCGGCTTTACAGCACTCGATCTTGATGCATCATCCGTGGCCAAATGACTTTGCGACAGTAGCTTTTCGGCGGTTGTCACGCTTTCTGCCTCGTTATTCCACCTGCCAGTGTAAGAAAAAGAATACTTAGTGCATTAAGTCCTCTGGCTTGTTGTGATATCACCAGCCAAGCTCCTTGGCCCCATAAGAAAAATGGAAACTTTGATGGTTTTAATCCTCCTTACTTGTACGTATCAGCTCTATGAGTAATCAGATATGTTTTAACATTGGAAAAAGGGGTCTCTTGCTGTGATGTAAAGTGATGGTACGAACTTAAAGGCAAGTTAGGCCTCTCTAGCACTCAAATAAATGCGGTTATTTGAGTAAATATTTTAGTAGAAGTAACGTTGCAAATGTTGAGCACAACAGCATGCTATTCAGATAAGACAGGTTAA